CTCCCATAAAAATAGGTGAGGTAACATGAGGCCTCAATGAGGTCGCCTCATGGCCACACATGAGGGCACACACCAACAAGTACTAGGTCCAAGTCGAGAAGCAGGATCAGTGATCTCCAAAAGGAGTACATAATTGTCTCTTTTAACCATTGGAGAAGCAGGACCAGTGATCTCCAAAAGGAGTACATAATTGTCTCTTTTAACCATTGGAGAAGTAGCGAAGATCTCGATTCTCTCGGGAAATGGAGCTTTGCTTAGAATTTCACTCCAATGTCAAATATTTGTGCTGATACACAATACCTAAACCCATGTAATTGGCCTCATATGTTGACAGAGTCCTATCTCTCATATAAATGGGTCAGTTACATGGGTTTAAACATTGTGTATCGGCCCAAATGTTGAAAACAGAGTTGGAAATCCAAGTATACCTTCATTTCCTAGGGATGTCGAAGTCCCGGTACTTCTCAAACGTTTAACAGAGAGATAATTTGTTCTGCAGTGGCCAAGAGCAGGCGGTTGATGCAAAAAATCGACATCCCTTTCTCTCTCTTAATCTCTCTTTAGGTATGGCTTGTAACAATAGCAATTATAAATAAGAGGAGAACCAGGGTGCAGTGAATCTTTCTGTTATTTTGATGAATTGGAAAGGTACAAAATTAGAAATAGGAGTGGGAGAGGCGTGGTGTATTGAATCTTTAGGCCATTGTGATAAGTTCAAAGGTTCAAATATAGGAAAAAGAGTGAGAGTGGATATGGATAGGGGCTGTGGCACCCGACGATGACCGAGTGCCGGGCCCTCGGCCCTAAGGGGTAGCAATGGCCTTGGCCTTGGGGCAACCCTAGCCCGGCCCTAATCCTCATATGGCTGGCCCAAGCCCGGAAAGGCTTGGCCTTACTATTGGGCCATGGTTTCCCAGCCCTGCCTTACAACCACTTTTGTGGCCCAGGCCTAGGGCTGGCCACCCCGCCCGATTGCCACCCTTATTTGCCATTTATAGAATCTGTTAATAGTATGGTAGAGAGCATTCACAATGCTCTAGTTGTGTGGGCTGAGTGGCCGTAGTGTGAGCATAGTTAGCAAGTCGAGAAATAATATATCGGCAAACCAAAACATTGGTAATAAATTAGTTTAAATTTAAAATATCAAAGAAAAAAATGGGTAAAAAAGACAGATCTCCCAAAAGTAAGGTGTGTTTTATAATCGTAAATATTTTGGACTTGGCACAAAAAAATAGAGTGAAAAAATCGGATATGTACAACATGACACAATATACAATTATGATTTGTTGTTATGGTATAGATACATTAAAACTATTGAACAATAGTTTTATAGCCTTACCTAGTGCTATTAGAGTGATAACGGAGAATTTTTTGTCGAAACTCTTAATAAATCCAACAACAATACTTACTTTATTGTCACAACACAAAATATATAATAAATTTATTGGGGGCATAAAATAAAACAACAAAAGCGACAATACTAAGAGGAAAATTGTCTCATGCGGGCTGGACCGCATGTCTATATATGTGGTCCAAACAGATGGATGCAAGTAGGTGTTCTATCTTAAAAATGGATGCAAGTAGGTGTTCCATCTAAAAACAATGGAAACTAACGGTCCAAATGTTTTCTTACTGGAATTATTATTTCTAGTTTTTAAAATGGGAAAAGTTTATATAAGGTTGCAACCTTAAAATGTAGAATCACAAATGCACCTCAAAAATCTATCGGAAATGTTGTTTTAATGTTGAAAAAAACCCTCCAATCGATCATCTTGACAGCGAGGTGCATGAATATGAAAAAAAAAAGTTTTTGAGTTTCGAAAGTAGTGCATTTTGCAACACATTATCTAGACCATCCATTTTCAAGATTTTCATATATTTATATATTTATAGATCTAGTTGATTTTAACCACTTTTTAAAGTGAAAATTTTCTAATTAGGTATGAAAATAGATTTTTAAGATAATACAAAGTATTTTTTACAACAAAATTATATGTTATAATAAAATTTTAAGGTGTGCCTTAATTGGATTGTTTAAGGTTGCAACCTTATAGAAACCATACCCTTTTAAAATTTACTTATTTTTTCATATTCATCATCTCCATGTTAGATATTACGTGTCTTTAAAAATTATCCTAAAATCCATCTCAATAATAGATTTAATAGGTCCTCATTTCTGCATATGTGGGTTTGGCCATGTAGAAATCAGGTCCATATTAAAAACAAGAATTACATTAGTAAATAACAAGAACTGTAAACTAAGGTATAGGATTATTGTTCATAAATAAAAATAAAAAGACCCCTAGTATGGTATAGTGGTTAACTAAAATAAAACAAAAACATCCAAATATGTAAAATAGTGGTCCATTCAAAATGCTATGTTATATACACAAATACAATAAAAAATAAAACTAAAGTTATGAAATTAATCAAATTTCTCTATGCATAAAGAAAGCAACGAAATGCTTAAGCAAATTCAAATCAGATTGAATTATGAGCTGCATAAATCGTTAGTATCATTCAATCTCTCTTATTTTCTTTATGAGGACATTTCAGGTTCTAATAAAAAGAATACCTTTCATTGGGTTATTCTTCTTCTAACTCTACTTATTATTATGGTGAGATAAACAATTATTTTGATAACTTAGTTTTTGGGGAATATATTGCTTGTATTTTTTGTATACTTTTTATTATACAATCATTTAACAATACCTACTGATCATCTAGTACTTCCACAACTTCTATTATACAAAATTACAAATATAACATCACTCAAAATAAAATAAAATAAAATCTAATATGATTATAGATTAGAACCAGATTGGAACTTCATGTCACGGTTAGGTTTTTAAACAAAAAAGTAGTGTTAAAAACCAAGTGGAAATTTGATGCAAATTTTAAGACCGGCCAGAGACTCCATGCTCCAATGCGGGTTTTGACAAAGTCTTTGGATTGGAACTTGGTGTTTCGATACAAAAACTAGGAAAAAGAAACAAGAACAAACCCTATTTAGAACTCGAGGCACAATGGAAAAAATAGAAAATTTTATAAAAAATTACATTAACATATTCAAAGTACATGTCATATTTTTAAAAAACGGCAAACATATTCAAAGTACATGTCATATTTTTAAAAAACGGCAAAGAAGAGAAGAAAAAAATTGCATAAGGTTGCAACTTGAAACTATAGAAGTAAGGTGCAACTCAAAAATTATATAAAAAAAAGTGTTCTGAAGTTGGAAAACCTTCCAATTGATCATCTTGACTTTGAGATTTATGGATGTCATTTATGGATGTAATCATTAACCGAGCCTTATCCCTACTATTTGGGTCGGCTACTTGAATCACATTCTCCCATTCTACTCTATCAAGAGTCATACTATCAGTTAGATGTACTTTGGGGCATTCTCTTGCTTTTTTAACGCATTCCACTTGAACCAATTTGCTCCTCCTTATCAATATTATATTAGGTCTATGTTGCACATGGTCAGCCCACTAAGTTTACTTTTTCTTATCTTATCGCCTATTAGAGCCACATCTAAGTTCTCTTGTATGTATGCATTTCAAATTCTATCATTGTTTATCCTGTCACTCATTCATCTCAACATCATCATCTTTGTTACACTAATCCTATGGAGATATATTGTCTTATTGGAAATTTATGCATATAAAACAAAAAAATTTCGACCGAAAATAGTACATCTTGTAACAAGTTAACCAGACCATCTATTTTTCCATAATTGTCAAATCTTTATAGATTTGCTCAATACACACCATTCTTAGAATTTGAAATTTCGTAATTAAATTAAACAGAATTTTTCAAGCCATAGTAAGATTTTCCGCATTGGAACTACCTACGAGACCTATACACCTAATACAAAACTCACCCGAAAGAAAAAATATTAACGAGAGTTTCCGTTTTATCAACATCAGCAACCTTTTGGAAGTGTATGAAACATTTTTAGGCCCTTATAGTTGCTTCTATGTAACGTAGAAGAGATGGGTGTCATTTAGGGGTGGCAACGGTCCGGCTGGATCCAGACCCTATACAGGTTTAGATTTTGAACCTGTATTCAACTTGTTAGGTCCACAAGTTGGACCCATATCTGTAACCATCGGGTCCTGGTCTAGTTGGTCCATTGCCACCCTCATTATGAGCTTCATAGTTTTTTTTTTTTACCTATTTTCTACCATCATATACCTATATCACAATTACCTGCTACAAGATTCATATGATTTCTCGTTTAATAGCTAAAGATGACTACAAGGTCTTAATGTATATGATCCTTAATATATCCAAACGAATAAGAAGTATTTTATCTCCTACATGTCAAATACGGGTAGGGTTCAAGTTTTGGACCCAGACCCGTGTTGGGTATACTCAGCGGGTCTCGAGTCGGTTCAGGGTGCGTTGCCACCCTTAGTGTCATTGTTACAATGACTATGAAATCATGATAGGCAAGGTTCAATTTTCAAATAAATAGTTATTTAGCTTAAATATCTCTCAAGGAATAAGTCCCGCAATATGGATGCGCATATTTGTAATTCAAATCCTTTTTTTTTTTCTTGTTTTTGTTTTTGTTATTCAAATCCCGTAAAAATCTCTCCATCCATAAAAAATGGTCACTACAAACTTTCCCGCTCTATCTTCTACTCACGTCTATGGGGATTATCTCTCTTTCTCTCTCTACAATGAATATATTTTCTAAAGGAGGCAAAGTCCCTCCGCCATGGGAGGTAATGCCTGGAGCACGCGCACAGGCTCCATTCATATCCTCTCTCTATCTTCTTTCCTATTTTTGTACATTTCCCTCTCTTCACAATGCCAGAAACATTCAATGCACAATGCCTCTCCTCCTCCTCCTATCTCTATTTCTATTGTTACAGAGAGGGAGAGATTGCACGATTTCAGCAAACCCTAAAGAGAGAAGAGAGAAGGGGTCATCCATTTGCGGCCTTAATCTCTTAAGCTCCATAACAGAGGCCGTCCTTGATACACAGATACAGAGTGAGAGGAGGCTCTGCTTACTCTTTGCAAATGGCTATAGCGGAAGATAGGATAAGCGAACTCCCAACAGAGATAATTCTCATGATTCTCTCAATGCTAACGATCAGAGAAGCTGCTAGGACCTCGGTCCTCTCTCGCAGGTGGAGGTCTTCTTGGACGTCCATTCCAGCGCTAAACTTCGTACCAGATACAGCATACTCATACTCATGCCACTGGGCCAATATAGTCGATTCAGTCCTCTCTCGCCATCGCGGACCCATTTCAGCGTTTAGGCTGGATAGAATAATTTGGTGCAGCTGCGAAGATATCGATCGGTGGCTCTCCATCGTATCCAGTCGAGGGATCGAAGATTTGGCCATCGACTTTTATGACCAATATTTGCCCTACAAAGTTCACCCTAGCTTCTTTTCTTGCTCATCTTTGGTATCTATAGACTTAACTTCATGCAAGCTCGAGATGCCCACAGATTTCGAAGGATTTAAGTTTCTCAAATTTCTCTCTCTGAAAACTGTGGCTCTTACTGATACTATACTTCAGACCATAGTTTCCATGAGTGAGAACTTGGAAGATCTGACCCTTATTGATTGCGAGGGACTGCGTAATATCAAAATCATCAGCACGAGCCTCCTTAATTTCCATCTGTTTGGTGTTTTTTCTGAACTTGATTTAAGTGGGAGTTTGAACATCAAGGATCTTTTCATTAATTGGGATGATGATGGAAATGGGGTTTGGCCACTGAGGCAGATTATCAATGGTCTCACCAAATTAGAGTCTCTGAGCGTCACTGGTTTTCGTCTATATGTGAGTGCTGTTTTTGCATTATTATCACTCTTAATAATTTGCTTAGTTACTCAATTTAGTTACTGTTTTTTTCTCCTTCGAGATCTTACTCATGAAATACTGCCTCTGGATGTTGATCTTTTTGCTTTTTATTTTCGCTCTAGTAATCTGTTTAGTTAGTGAACTGGTTATTTTCCCATCAAGATTTGTTTAGTCAGTAATGGTTGGGATAAGGCTCAGATGATGATTTGATTAGTCAGTATGTTTATGATTTTTTGTCCATTATTAATAATTTGAGTAGTTAGTGAACTGAGTTGAAATTTTTTCGTTAATCATTTGTTTAGGCAGTGATTTGAGTTATTCATTTTAAAGATCCTATTTTCTATAGGTGGTCAGATTTTGCTGTTTTGTGCATCCTGTAGATGTTATTCTTGCAGTTTTATAATTCATGGTGATATTTTTTCGTATACTTTCAATGTTTTACGTATACGCTGCATTTCTAGTTTTTACGCAAATTGCCACCATGTTTGGGCTACATTCATAAAAGGCAATTAGTTTTTCAAGTCTGCTTAATTGATTAAATCAGTGTTTTAAAACATAGATTTTCTGTCCAGGTGAATTAGCCATCTGGAATTTTCGACTGGATTGGAACGCCCATTCATATCAGCAAATTGGATTGATTCTCTAGTGAAGCGGTCTAAATGATAATAAAATTTTTTAAAATAAAAAATAAAATATGTGGGAATAGAGTGATCCGGCCATTCCGGATTGCATAGTTCCCTGACAAAGTCACCTGGTTCCCTAACATAATCGAGCAATTATAAGGAAACCAAACCAATTCCAACTCTAATAAGTAACCAATCAATCATGGTCAATTCTCCATGGCTGATTTTTTAAACATAGGTTAAATAGACCACTTAATTGGTTGAACCAATGTTTCAAAATTTTCCAATCTATCCATCCGGAATTGGTGCGGATCGACCCAGTTCCCAATAGGAACCCAAAATCTTATCTGATTTAGACAGACTCATGCAGTTCTATTAGATAGGTATGTCTATTAGGGAATCAAGCGAACCTGATCGGCAAATTTGCCTGGTTCCAACACTATAAATTTTTATTTTTTTATAGATTTAAAAAAATATTATTTAATTTTATTGGCTTCAATTATTTATCATAAAAACATTTCTATTATGCATCCGGACTATTTGTTTGCCGATCCAAACTGGTAGCTGGTTCGCCTAGCTGATCCGGTTTTTGAAACGCTGGGTTGAATAGATAGAGAATTAAAAAGTGAGGGCCAAGAATGTGGCTTACCATTTTGGCTTTTAGTTGTACACAAAGTAGTGGGGAACATGCATATAAATTTTATTTTCTATGCCCTCGTAAAAGTGAAATTTGTTTTTGTTGTCATAAAATGAAAGAAAACTCCAGGGACAACTTGATTTAACATGCAGCTTAAGTTTTATGCACAATGTACTCTAAACCCTCAAGTCAAAAACACCTAACCCTAAACCCTTCGTCCTGAACAGTAAACTCAAAAACCCCAAACCCTAGACCCTTCGTTCTAGTGTTTTAAGTGCACCATTGAGGCAACTTGTTAGGAGGTTCACCGAATTGGTTGTTCAGATTGCACATTAGAAATTGATGGCTAAGAAATATGTTTAACAGGTTGCCTTTTGGGGTACAAAAAAGACATGCGCAGGAATTCTATTAAAAAAGTTCATTCAACGCCTGAACTCAGACTGCACATTCTATTATGAAACTCTATCCGAGAACATTCTATTATGAAACTCTATCCGAGAACAACCATTGAGAAACTTTGTTCTCATCAAATAGTCCTCAGAATATGTGTGTTGCGAACTGGGACTTAACATCAGTCTTTTACAAGTATTTAGATGATGATTCAGGTGTTGGGAAAGAATTTGGCGATAATAACTTTAATGACGATCCAATCACTTAAGAGGATCAAGAAGAAGATCCCACTCTTCAAGAGAATTTTGTGGATGCTCCTATTTATTTACGAAGAACCACGTGGATGTGAAGTAGCTGATTGCAAAATATTAGAGATAACTTGTTTCTTTGTACCAAAAGGAACAAGTAAGATAAATGATGTTTCTAATGGAGGGCAAGAAGTAGACAAGGAAACAATTAGAAGGAACTGAAAAGAACTCACTTGTCTCAATGATGGTGCTGACAATCAATTGTATTTTGACTCAATGGCTTCTTTCTACTACTTTATGACTACTGCCTTGTCTCTGCCCTAGCACTCTATGTCTTATCAAAACCGGCGGTGCCACGGAGATATGCCGAAAGGAGTTGATGCCATTTTCATTGGTTGTTTTTGTTCCCTCGCCTATATGCATTTCAAAGTTCGTGAGCAAGTCATCTTAAATGTGTTTAAGACTAATGATATTATGGACTTGCTCTATAGAGTAGGCACTTCTCATAGTGTAATATGGTGTTATGAATGCAAACTGGAGGGCAAGTTCTCTAGAACCCAGGGAGGATGATGTAGGGCCCCATAAGGGACCTCCTAAAACCAGCATGGTTTCCACGAGCGTAGAATAATGTAATAGTGGGTTTGCAAAGCCTTGAGAGAGTCAAACATGAGGAGTTTCCAAGATTTAGGAGTTGGAATATGCTTAGGAACTTACTGGATTGTGCAATAGGAATGGGTTAGCTTTTAATATATACTAAAAACTTGAAAGACAAACAGTATAAAAGGGTTAGGCTGTGCCATTTTGAGCTCAGATTATAAAACTTTCTTTTAAAAATAAAAATACAGCAATTTGCTTGTAATTTTTGGTATAGCTTGGCTTTCACCCAATTTATTCTCTTTGCGGATGTTTTCGCGCACTAATTTGCTATACCTCCATAGTTTAGCCGCAACATGTACATTCATCAGCACCTCAGTTTTCAGTGCATCCATGAAGGCAACCTGCTTACAAAGTTGTGTGATTTGCTAAACAAGTTGAGAAGTAAATGTTACGGTGTAACAAATCGACGTAATACGATGCATGTCGAGGCATATAATAACCATGCAGTGGGGAAATTGTATTAAAAATTTTATTCATGAGGTCCAGGTAAAAAAAATGTTTTCTTTTCAGAAAATGAGACACAAAAAGTACTTAGAACGACCTTATTTGATATGCATTTTGAATTTTAATGCATGTTGCTATCTCATGCACACTCAATAAAGCAACATGTTTAGCAGGTTCACCTAATTGGCTGAATAAATTGAAAATTAAGTTGCTAGCTGAGAAATCAGTTCTACAAGTTGCATTTTTGTGGTGGCACAATAAACATATGCTGGGTAAAATACTACTTTCATTTCCTAAATAAAAAAAATAAAAATAAAAACAGTTCTTGCGACTACTTGTTTTGACATGCATTTTGAATTTTCTCCACATTGCTATCCCTGGGTTCCATTAATTGATTGAACAGATTGTGAATTATCAATTACTTGCTAAGGAATCAGTTTAACTGGTTGGCTTTTAGAGGCTCATAATAAAAATGCAGGCAGGAAAAATATATCAAAAGTAAATAGTCTCTTATGCATACTTTTCCATTTAAAAACTATACTGACACCTACACAAAATTACAATCTGTTGTATTTTTTGAAAGATGAGAACAATAAAGAATTCAGACAACATGATTTGACATGCATGTTGAATTTTTATGCACATTGTCATCCCCTCATGTCTTATGCACATTGTCATCCCTTTCGGTGGCATAGACATGCGGTGAGAATTTTTTATAAACAATTTTTCCATGAAGCCTACATCAGAACAAGATATATTATCTTTTTCATAAAATGAAAACAAAAAAAGTAATTAAAACCACTTGATTTAGCATGCTTCATGATTTTTCTTTTTGCACATTGCCATCCCTTCTTCATATTTTGGGTGCCTATTAGGACAACTTGTTTAGCAAGTTCACCTAATTGGTTGAAGAAATTACAAATTAAAAGTTATCAGCCCAGATATCACTTTACGAATTGCACTTTGGTAGTTCATAGTAAACATGTGATACGGAACATCTATGAAGTTTTTATTCATGACACTCATGTGAAAAATCACAGTTACATGATTGATTGGTTTGCGCATGGCCATATTCTCCTTGTGTTCTTGGAACGCCCATAAAGGACACTTGTTTTGCAGGTTCTGTTAATTGGTTGAATTGATGATGAATTAGGAGTCATCCCATAAGAAACCGGTTGAACCAGTAGCCATTACAGGGGCCCATAATAAACATGTGGTGGGGAATTTGAATTCAAAATTATGTTAAGGATTAACAAATTGAAGACATTAATCTATTTTTTTTTTTTTAGAAAAAGAGATCAAAAGTAATTAGGACATCTAGATTTGACATGCATTTGAATTTCTATGTACATTGTCATCCCCTCCTCATGTTCAGGCACACCCATGAACGCAACTTGCTTAGCAGATTGCTTATTTTGTTGAATACATTGACAATTAAAAGTTAATGGAAAAACTTAAGAAATATTACACTACATGGCAAGACTAAAGAAATAATTAATTCGCTAAATGGCCTTAGCAAAAAAAAACACACTCAGATCAGAGCAAAAGATGTTTGAACCAGTTAGTGAAGTCGTCCTTTTAGTGAAAGTAAAAAACAACAGCAATTATTTTGGTGGATTAGAGGAAAAATGGCTTTCACACATTGAATATAGTTCACCAAAAGAACTATTTTTATGTTTCCTAGTAGTTTTCTTTTTCCTATGAACAAGATGATTATATGATAGTTGTGGTAGTTTTCTGTTTGTAGTTATTTTATTGAAAGTGGTATTCAGAATCGAAGTAGGTGTAACTGAGGAATTATTGTGGAATCTTTTTTACATCATCGTTGGTTGTTACTTGCAGAGCTTTTATGAGAGGTCAGCTGATGGAGGAAATGGTGGGCTACCTACAATTTATAATTTTCTGCAGGAATTCGAGATACATCTAAATTGTATGGAAGTATCAGAGATCATGGGTCTGGTTTGTCTGTTGAAGAAGTTCCCAAATCTAAATGCTCTTTGCCTTAAGGTGAACATGATTCTCATAATAGGTGGCATGTTTTCTTCTTTTGGTTTCTTTTCCCTATTTTGTCTAGACACATTCATTACTGCTTTCCTGTTTTGACCTTGTCGTCTTTTGTTTCGGATTTCTTGTTTCTTCTTTTCTCTTTCGAAGGATTATGAGGAGGAGCTACAACCTGAGGGCAAATTGACTAAGACTAACTTGGAGACGTTGAATTCTGATGCTATGTCTTGCTTGGCTCAACTCAAAAAATTAAAGCTGGTACTGGCTACTCACTGTGATGAAACTCTTGACATAATTGAGTTTTTTCTGTTGAATGCGGGTGTATTGGATGAGTTTTTTATCAAAATTGGGAGTCTTCAGAATCAAGAGGAGAAATCAAAGGTTGCGGAGCGGTTGGATTCCTTTCCTAAAGCTTCTCCTGAGGCTAAGATCATATTTAGCTAGACTTGTTAGCATATCACAAACTTGCATTACTGGATATTCCTTCCATTACTATGTTGTTTACTGAATATTTCTTGATGGAAACTTTTTTTCTTTGTTTTTTTTGGATAAATGGAAGACTCTTATTTAAGTGGCAATATACATGTTCTTAATCTTATTTTTTCTTCTATTCAAATTTTGATACCATTGAAGGATATGAATTTTTGCTTGTTTGTTTTTCATCAGCAGTAAAGACATGTAGAAGTGGAATTCCCTTCTTTTAATTCATGAGTTAAATCCATAGTTACTGAGAGCGCCCAACTAGGGTAGCGCTCCCGCTCCAGGATACAGCTCCGATACTCTGTGACCGGGATCTCGTCCGGAACCCATTTCCAACTTTTTGGGAGCTCGCTTCCATTTTTAGGATTCTTGATCCCATTCATAACGGAGCTCACTCCCGCTACCGCACGGATCTCATTCCCACTGTCCCACATAATGTGTTCCCAAACAAATTAGATCCCCGCTCCCAGAATTTTAGGATTGTGATCCCTACATTCCCGAAACTCCCATCCTTAGGGAGGATCCCACCATAAACAAAAATAGCGCTACCCACCATTAAAATAGTAGGGTTATCAACTAAAAACGTGTAGAAATTGGGCCTTCAGGACTCAAAGCAGTTATTCTAGCCTTAATTCCATATGGGTAATTTTTTGATACTCTTAAAAATGTTAATTTGCCTTTCCAATCCTTTACAGAGGTTTTTCATTTGAATTCCTATAGAAAATCAGTCGCCCCAATTCTTGAATTCTTGATTCTTCTAAAAAATAAAGGAGCTTGAACTCTTCTCCTCCTCTGTCAAGGATGTCACCATGCTTCACAACCATGGAGTTGCCTGCAATCCAATGAATAATTTTTCATCAAAAATTTTACCCATTTTCAAAGCTTGTTTGGCCTTTTGGAGATCACCATAGAGGTCCCCAACTGCTAGCAAGCGAGGTTGAGATGGGTATATATATTTTTTGGCAAATAGGTCCATGGGATTAAGGGTGTGGAGGTTGAAGAGATTGTGAATGTCTGGTCAAGAGAGAAAGAAAGAGGACATGTGGAGATTGGCTCCAAATTAAGCAGAACGCAATCCAACCTTGAATGAAGCTCGATCCATTCCAAATAGGAACCCATTTTTCTTAGATGGGGACACGACTCGACTTTAAATGGCATCTTGTTCCTATTGTCTATGAGAGCACGATCCTAAAAAACATGGGAACACGATCCCATTTTACATGGAAGGTATTCTCATTAAATAAGGACATCGATCCCAATGTATCGGGAACACACTCATGTTCATACGGGATCTTGATCTGCAACTTTTACTCTCCCCGAAACTCACTCCCCAAGCTCTGAAACTTTAGGAAGCTCTCGATCCAACTCTCCCGCTCCCAAAACAGGAGCCGTTCCCGCTCCCGCTCCCAGTAACTATGGTTAAATCCACAACCTAGGCCGCAAATTTAGGCAATGGGTTAGAACCGGATTCATAAAAGTTAATTCTTATAATGTGAGGTTTATGAACAAATTTTGTTTTGGCTTTTTGGTTTGCTTGCATATATTTTTCCTTGAGGTAGTTAGCGTCACAACTTAAAGTTCATAATAGTTGAATGTCAGAAATCATTTCTAATTGTATATTTTCTTGCATATATTTTCAAAGCATGGTTTGAAGATGGTTAGTGATTACGATGGCCAGTAGTAGTTGTAAGAATGTCAGGCTGGACCAGATGCATGAGCAGCTCAACAACATGATGGAGACGATTGCACAGTTGCTGAAAGGGCGAGATCAATAGCAAGGTGCCCAAAACAAAGAGGTTCCCACGATGTTAGATCCAAATCGTGAGGGTTTTTCTGGTGATTGGAGAGAATCCAAGCCCAAATCTAGGTTGAAGAGAACTGATGATGTGTCTGTGCTCAATATACGATGGCATTGTCGGGAGCATGAATTTAATCGGGAGTCAGACAGCCAACCACCCCAACGCCGACACGACCAGCATAGGCGCACGGACGGGGAGGAATCACATGATCCCCATTCAGATACACTAGGATATAAGCGCAAAAAGTCAGATTCAGGTATTAAAGTTTCCCTTGAAGGATTTTTTGACTAGTTGACCCCTTCTTTGAATGGGAAGACAAGACCTGAATGATTAAAAGTAGGTCAAACTTGTAGCTCTTAAACCTAGGGAACCTACATCAAAGTGGCGGCATCAAGTTCAAGAAGCCAGCTTCAAAGGGTCTAAGATAAAATCAAATCATAAAACTAGACGAACGCAAGGTTATTCAAGCAATTTCTTGCCAAGATATGCACGAACATTGTACCAATAGTTTTACCGGTTGCATCAAGATACAAAATTTGTTCAGGGGTATAAGGAGGACTACTTCTTATACTTGCATAATGGGTTAACAGAGACCGAGGGCCAAACGGTTGCACATTATTTTTTAAGGGGTTGGGGAATTCGGTCCAAGATGAACTCACGCTGCCCCGGTTGGGAGCAGCCTCTCAAGCTAACTTGAAAGTAGAGGAACAACAAAGAAAGGAGGCAGCCACAAGCGGACCCATCCTCAGAGCAAAACAATCACAAACTGGAAGGCCTGCACCTCCAAACCTAGGAGTTTCTGCAGCAAAAGATGGCCCAGCTACCAGTACCTCAGCCCACGAGGCTGCTGGTCCGAGGTGTCTTTGGTGGACTGGCCCAGCTACCAGCACCAAGCCGTAGTGTGTCCGTTTAATGTAGCCCAACATCATGCCACTTGGGTAAAGCCTAAGCATGGCACTGAAAAGAACACCTAGTGATTGCTGCTGAAAACGAGGCTGAGAGTGACAATCAGGTTGATGAAGCGGTTGTTCATCAAGGAGAGGCCTAGCTGGTTCAACATGCTTCCTCATTGCCACATGCAACTAGGAAGAAGGTTGGCAGAGGACTAATGTGCACGATCTTCATCTGCGATGGGAGCTTTGAGAACTCTAAATGCCTTTTAGTTCTTTGCTTCAAGGGGAGGATACAGCTCCTAGTACTTGATAGGAACATGAGCTCCATAGAGCATGTTTGTTTTCCATCGATAATTTCATCTTTAACGCTTAAGAATCAACGACATCGAGAACCCTAAAAGAGAAAGGAAGAGGATGTTGAAGAGGGAACTTTCCTCGGAACAAGCGCCATGATGTTCATGCATCTACATATTGGGCTTGCATATCCACAATCTTCATTAGAAATGGCACACTTTTACCTGCGATAGAGGTGTTCAGGTTGCAAGTCCCAAGGTTATAAGCAGCTAGGAGCCACCCATAAGGGAAGTGCTCCAATGGAGATGAGATCTAATAGAAACATGTTCACCTCTCTGTTCTCAAAAAGATTAGTGTTGGTGTTAAGGATCCAGGTCCCATCGATTGTCCACAACAGGAGTGAACAGCGCTCCCACCCACATGGAGAATTAAATTACACTCAGTAGATCAATCTTCTCCAGTGCAGCCTTATAATTAGTACATATCTGGTGGGTCCAAGAGAACCAATATGTTCTCGCCTTGAGAACGCAAATTATCAGATTTCCATATAATTGCAACATTTGTCTTCAATTATATATATATTCATTGTAGAGAGAGAAGAGAGAGATGATCCTCGTAGACGTGAGTAGCAGATAGAGCGGGAAAGTTTTTAATCCCGGCTAACGACTGTGAGATTTTTATGGGATTTGAATAACGAAAGGAAAGAAAAAAAAAAAAAGAGGATTTGAACTACAATAATTTAAGCTAAATAACTTTTTTTTTAAAATGATTTCAAAAACGGTCATTCTAACAATAACGCCCCACTTCTCTGCATTACATAGAAGTGGCTAAAAATGTTTCATACACTTCAGAAAGTTGCTAATGTTGATAATAACTTTTTCTTTTGGGTGAGGTTTGTATGCTCATAATGTATAGGTTCCGATATGCAGTTCCCATGCTAAGAACCTTACAAGGGATTAGCTTGAAAATCCATATTTAAACTTAATAACGAAATTTAGAATTCTAAAAATAGTGCATATCGAGCACATCTATAGATATCTAAAAATCTTGAAAATAGATGGTCCAGATAATTTGTTACGTCTTTGTAGATTCCTATACAAAGCTTTTGTATATGTGTCTTCGGATAATCCCTTATCATTTAATCCAATTGGAATAGTTCTTCTAATTCTATGAATCTTTTGAGAACGTTCTTTTCTTGAATTTCATTCAAAAAAGTTTCGTATTGGCTGGTATTCCACCAATTTGTAACCCAAGGTTCCAGACTTTTATTAAATGATAGAGAAATCCCTAAATCAGAAAAACTATAAAAGCAAGATGCGGCAAAGAAGTCAATGCTTTCTTTTTCGCCACTTTCAATCTGGAATTGTTAATGAACCCGATTCAGTCGTCGACTCTATCTGATATTTGGATGAAGCACGAGTTCTATAACAAGATGCACTACTTTCATGTTTCGATTCTTTCTTCGATTTTTTTGCTTTATATCCATAAATCTCCAACAAGACTATATATCTATAGGATTAGTGTGGTAGAGATAAGGATGTTAAGATGGATGAGTGACAAGTTAAATAAGTATAGAATTGAAAATTAATACATACAAGAGAACTTAGATGTGGCTCCAATAGGCGATAAAATGAGGAAAATTCGACTTAGATGGGCAGGTCATGTGCAACATAGACCTAATACAATATTGTTTGGGAGGGAAAAATTGGTTCAAGTGCACGTCTCTAAAAGGGCAAGGGAGGTCCAAATGGACATGAATGAAAGTAGCGATAAGAGATATGATGACTTATGGTTTGATTGACAATATGACCGTTGGTTGAGCAGAATGTGAGAATACGGTTCATATAGCCACCCCTAAATAGTTGGGTTAAGGTTTAATTAATGATGACATCTATAAATCTTGAAGTCAAGATGATCAATTAGAAGGTTTTCTAACTTTCGAACACTCTTTTCCTATTAGATTTTTAAGGTGCACCTTACTTCTAGTTGCTATGTTATATAGCTTTTTCCTTCTTTTTTTGACGTATTTATAAATGTCATATGTATTTTAAAATTTATGGTTATCTAATTTTTGATAAAATTTTCTTTTTTTCCAAGGTGCCTTGAATTCTGGACTTCGGTCGAAACACCAAGTTCCAACGCAAATTATTTGTCGAAACCTGCATTGGAGCATGGAGTTTCTTTTTGGTCTTAAAAACTTGAAAAAAATTTCAAATGATTGCATCAGATTTCCACTTGATGTTTAACACTACTTTTTTGTTTAAAAACCTAGCCAGGACATGAAGTTCCAATTTGGTTCTAAAAACTTTGTATATCTTTTTTTAGATGTGGAACTTCATAATCCAACCTAATTCCATTAAAATTGTTAGTGTATTTTCTAAAATTCAAATTCGTTTTTATTTTATTTTAATTTGAGTGATGTAATGAGGTTGTATTTGTAATTTTGTGTAATAGGAAGAATATAGAACTACTAGGTGGTTAATAGTAATTATTGTAAGTGGGTAGTTATTGTAGTAAATTGTTAGATTTAGAGAAGATACAGAGCTCAAGAACTTTATAGAGAGAGAAACTATCTTGATCAATTCTCATTAACAAGGAATAAAACCCTAAAAGGGTTATATACAATTCAAATTTAGTGTCAAATTTATTGTAGGCCACATTATCCCTACACAAATATACAATGACAATAAAAGACAACTGAAAATTATGAAAAATATACATTTTATTTTTGTATACATATTATTACCCCCCACCAAGGGGATGCGGATATGAGTAAAGCATTAGCTTGTCCATTAGAAAATTATGGCGGCTCCGAGTAATAGATTTGGTGAAAATATCAACAGTTTGCCCAGTAGAAGAAGCATAAGGGACAGATAATGTACCATCAAGATAGCGATCACGAACATAATGACAACCTACGTCAATATTTTTGGTCTGCTCATGAAAAACTGAATTAGATGCAATCTTAATTGCACTTTGGTTATTTGCATATAAAGGTGTGGGATTTGAAATAGAGATACCAAACTCATTGAGGAAAGCACGAACCCAAACAATCTCACGAGCAAGGACATGGCACGATACTCAGCTTCAATGCTTGACTTGGAAACAGTGTCTTGTTTCTTGCTCTTCCATGATATTAATGATGACCCCAAGGAATACACAATATCCTGTAGTAGAACGGCAAGTGTCGGGATCACCTGCCCAATCCACATCTGCATATGCACTGAGATCTAAAGAGGATGTAGAGTCAAAGAATAATCTACGAATGGAAGTACCTCGAACACAGCGTAAAATTCGATGAACTGCTGATAGATATGGTCGTCGAGGATCTGAAACAATTTGGCTCACAACAAGGACATCATATGCAATATCTGAGCGAGTCATACTGAGATAGATGAGGGAGCCGACGAGTTTGCAATACATCGTAGGCTCAAGAAGAGGATCTCCAACATGTGCAGAAAGTTTAACATTGAGCTCCATAAGTGTATCAACAGCATTCGCATCATTCAATCGGGCACTGGAAACAAGATCAAGTGTATATTTATGTTGATGGATGTAAATACTGCGTTTAGAGTGAGAGATCTCAAGGCCAAGAAAATAAGATCCTTCCCCAAGATCCTTCATTTGAAATTCTTCTTACAATCATAGCTTCACATTCTTGATGGAATTGAAATCATTACCAGAGATAAGAATATCATCAACTTATAATAAAATAATGTAAATTCCATGCTTTGAGGTAATGAATAAACATAGAGTAATCATGTTTTGCACTCCAAAGATAAGTAATTTTTTTAATTTTTTTTTTTTTTTTTTCAAAAACAAAGAAAGTTTTCTAATAGGATAGAAGATAATTGCAAATTGCTAGGTTCAAGGAAAGACTATTGTTGTGGGAGAGCACAACAGCTTGCAAAGCATTACAAAGAAACGTCAAATAAAAACTTGCAAGCACAAAGTGATCAATTGTGTAGGATTGCAAAGATAGTTTACTAGGCAAATTGTATGAGACAAATAAATTTTGCAGCGGAAAATTTTTGATGGAGACGAGCCAAACTTGGCGTGGTAAACTTCGACGGACAAATTTTGCTTGAAAAAAAAATAGGTCATGGATGATATCAATACGAATTAATATGCTTGCAAAGGAAGTGAATGATATCAATACGAATTAAACAGTACTTAGATGGTTGGGCGTGGATATAAACGAAGTGAACAACAAATACTCGAGGAAGAGAGAGTACGCACAAATAAAATGGATGTGAAATAGATAAATACGAAGACAATGGGTTAATAGCCCTAGTTTCCCAATACTCCCTACAATGAATGGATGAAGACAAAAAAAAAATAGGGTTTCAAAGGAGAAAGGGAATAGCACATTGAAAATTTTGGAAGGTTTCAAATTTGCCATGAAAGTTTAGAGAGAAAGAGAATAAGAGAGGATCGAGGGTTTGGGGCATCGGGCAAGGGGAATGAACCCAAGTTCTCTACGCCCATAAACCACATGACACCGTTTGCAACAAAAATTTGCAACGAAACTTGCAAAATGAAAATTTGAGAGATTGATGATTGCTCCAATCGTATATGATTAGGAAAAGTAAACGAAAGATGAAGATTAAGGTATCCACAGAGAAAATAAAATTTATTTGATTACTGACCTTCACAATTTGGGCGATTTGTGAGCAGCAACAAGAAGAGATGATCGGATCTTTGTTGCTCGGATACCATGTTAGATTTAGAGCAGATGCAGAGCTCAAGAACATTCTAGAGAGAGAAACTATCTTGATCAATTCTCATTAACAAGGAATGAACCCTAAAAGAGTTTATATACAAATATAAATTTAGTGTAGACCACATTATCCCTATACAAATATACATTGACGATAAAAGACAATTGAAAATCATAAAAAATATACATTTTATTTTTTTATACATATTATTATAAATATAGCTATATGAACATCTATTTAATGAAAAGTGTGTAGTGGGAAAATTAGGTTATATGTATCAAATTTGTAATACTTCTATGTACCCCACTTTTCCTCACTAAATGAGAATTGGTTTTCTTCCAACACATATTGATTGTCCTTCTTCTCTCTCTTTGGTGGTAGTCTTGGGCTAGGGTGACATTATTACACTAATTGAGAAGCGAATTGTTCTAGTATTGTGGTATTCATCTTTCTCCACATGTTATAAGAGCTACAAGAGTGGTGGTGATATTGTCTTGAGTCCCTTTATGAAGAGGATTGATTGTCTTTTTGAAGATGAATTTGGGTTGAAGGTCGAATATTTTTAGTGTTGAGTTGGGAACTCAACCAATGCTATCAAGAATCTTTGTTCGAAGATCTCTCTTGTTGATTTAGAATGACTTATTTCATAGGAACAAATGAAGTGGTGCATCATTCATGGGTTAGAGAGGAAGTATGCTCCCTATATTACTACTATTCAAGGGTGGGCTCTACAGCCATTCTTATGGGAATTTGAGAATCCTGGATTTTGAATTTGGCAAAGTGATGGAGATGATCGCATCACACTTAAGAGCTAGGCATAGTCTTTTTGTTAGAAAATCACTTAAGGGGAAGTGCTAATATTACTAAAGTGTATTTTCTAGAAATCATATTAGTTTTTATGTTGTTTTATTTTTAGCGATGTAGTGATGTGATATTTGTAATGTTGTGTAGTAGGAAGTTATAAAACTACTAGGTAGTTGGTAGTTATTGTTGCAAGTAGTAGTTATTGCAGTAAATATGATGGTAAGAACTTCTAGAGAGGTGTGTGGTAGAAAAACTAGATCTTATGTGTCATATTAGTTTGTAATGTTTTTATATACCGCATTTTTCATCATTGATTGGAAATTTATTTTTCTTCCACCTCATCTTGATTGTTCCTCTCTATCTCTTTGATGGTGAGTCTTGGGCTAGTGTGACATTGTTACACTAATTAAGAAGTAGAATATTCCAGTATTGTATCATATGTCTTTCTCCACAAAAAAGAGAGAGAAATCCTTATATTGTCTCATTCCTTGTGTTTTCTTAAAAATGTATTGATATTTCTATGTATAACCGTTCAATATGACATACGAAGCAAATGAATGTTACTATTATACATACAATACAAAGATATTACATGTATCGTTACAGGAACATAATAGGCAAAATTACAAAAAACCTTCAAGACCACACTTTCTATGCAACTTACCCCAACTTAAATTTTTCTCTCACTTTTTTTCCTATATCAAATTTTCTATGCGAATACCCTACAAGGGAAAAAGTTTATCTTTTTAGACAGAAATGCCCTTCCCATACACAAAAATCATTTTGGCCAAATTTGACGTTGACTTTTGGACCTAGTAGGACATTGTCGAAGCACACGATCACATTGCAGGAGGGTATAAGTGTCGGACCGCCCTAAGACAATTACCGAACCGAAACTGAGTATTGTTGGACCGCCTTTTACAAAGTGTCGGGGTCTTGGAATCCAGTAACATCTACTGCCGGACCACCCTTTGCAACTGCCAAACTGCCCTTTGCAACTGTTGGACCGCACTTTACACAATGCTGAAGCCCTACTCTCAGACCACACTTTACCCAGTGTCGAAGCCCTACTGCCAAACCGCACCACACTCTACTCAGTGTCGAAGCCCTACTGCCAAACCGCATTTTACACAGTGCCAGAGCCCTATTGCCGGACAATACTTTACACAATGTCGGAGCCCTACTACAAGACCGCACGTACATAGTGCTAGAGCCCCTAGTTTGGTGGGATAGAGGAGAGAGAGGCATGGGTATGGTAAAAGTAAGGGAGGGTAGTTTAGGCATTTTTTTATTTTTTATTTGGTTGGGGGTATTTCCATAGAAAGTGTATTTTGGGGAAAAAATGAGAAAAAGTTAGATTGGGGGTAAGTTGCATAGAAAGTGCAGTCTGGGGGTTTTTGTAATTTTGCAAACAGAATATCCCAAGACAAAATAAATTGGAATATGGAAAAAAAAACAAAGAGTGAAAAATTCCGGCGGAAAAAGAGGAATAATAATAGAAACAAGAGAAGCAACATAAAAGAAGACAAACAAAAATGTAAATGCATCTTAAAAATGCTAGACATAATTAATTTTTGGATGGTCACAACTAGTTGTTTAAGACTCATTATTGTTATTGTTATTGTTATTATTGTTATTGTTGTTGTTATTATTGTTGTTGTTGTTGTTGTTGTTGTTGTTGTTGTTGTTGTTGTTAATTGTTGTTAATTGTTGTTATTTGTTGTTGTTGTTAGTATTATTATTATTATTATTATTATTATTATTATTATTATTATTA